TTCCCACATCATTATAGTTGTGCTTTTAAAGTTGTAGCAATGTTTTGTCAGAATCTCATTGCTACAACATTGCTACAACTTTAAAAGCACAACTATAATGACGTGGGAAAATACCCAAACAAAGCTGAATACCATACATGTAAGCACCCGTGAAAACTTAAGAAAAAACACACACACACACACACACACACACACATCACTGGGGAAAGTGGGCCAAAATGTTTACATTTTCAATGGAGGGGGAGATTTGGGGTTAGATTTAATGGAAACTAATAAAATATGCTTTAAGCCTAGCTCTGTGATATAATTCTAGGGCAAGGGTGTCAAACTCGAATTCATTGAGGGCTGCATCAGGGTTGTGTTTGACCTCAAGGGGCTGAGGTGGGGCTCCTGAGCTCCATTTTCAGTTGTGATGGCCTCCTGCCACTCTGCCAGTGAAAATGGAGTCTTGAGCTTCATTTTTGCTGACAGAGGCACCATGGGCCAGTCTTCTGCTGTTTCCAGGGCAGCACCACGAGCTAGATGTAAGTACCCCCTGGGCCAGATCTGGGCCCCAGGCCTTGAGTTTGACACCCCTGTTCTAGCGGGTATCCAACACCTTCCAGAACCAGGCCAGTTTTGACAACTAAGCAAGATCAGACTTGCTTAATATTTAAATAGGAGATCTTTAAGAAAACATCCAGGGATGTAGGCTAGATCAGGAAATTAAAAAGAAAACATGAATGAATTAATTCTATATTATGTCAAGAAAACAGTATGGCAGTGCCTGTGAAATTATCAGGAGTACAATTCAAGTCAACAGAGACTTCAGTTCCTAAATAAATAAATATAAATATATTTGGATGAGCATCATCACCTTTCGAATTCTGATGTAACTGTCTGATAACACTTTTACCCAAGAAAATCAGAACTCTTATACACATTATTACAACTCAGAAGTATGCTTCATATGCAGCACAATTTAGGATTCTTCTGTCAATATGCAGCACATTTTCCCAGCCTATTATATCAAATCTTCAATGTATGTTGATTATCCAGTAAGGAGCATAGCAATCCTAAATCAATGCTATTTTAATACATCAGAAATTCTCTCTTTCCATAATTTTTCTCTGCACCTTGAGTTGCATCTTAGACATTTAGCCTCTAGGCCCTTATTAACATTCATAATGTCTCACACGATAAGAATTTATAGTATACTCTGGAGGATAAGTGATCAAGACATACTCCCCATCCACCAAGAACAAAAGCATATTTTGACAGAGTTTATTTTAAACTGTAAATTATTATTTGAAACAGGCAAATCTCCCAGCATCTCTCACCATCAACTATGTTGGCTAGGGTTGCTAAGGGTTGTGGCCCACCCATCTTAAGGCATGAAATATAAAACAGACATTTTCCCACTTAATTTTCTACTTCAAGGCAGCCATCTAGAACAGTGCAGAATGGATAGATCTGAAGATTCATCGTTTTAGTTTCCACATTCAAAATATAACATATAACATTACTGGATTTCCTTGGGTAAAAGTCACTTTTCAGAGTAAGATGGACAGCATTTAAATTTAATAAATAAATGTCACATTTAATTGATTCAAACATGCTAGTAAGTCTAATAAGCTAAATTTTGAATTAGCATGGCATGAAACTAAACCAGTGTAATTTATTCCATCAATCATGGTTTCATTCAAACATAGTTTGGAACAAGCTGTGGACCTAAACCCTCTACTAATTGGCAAAAAACAACAAATTAAAAACCTCTGCTTTTAAAATGGATACAAAACCCTATTTTATAATAACAATATTTAATGTGATATTTAAATTTCTCTGGAATGTAACCCCAATCGTGATTATATTCAAACATAGTTTAAAGCAAGCTGTGGACCTAATCCTACTATTAACTGGCAAAAAAAAACCTTGTTTGGAGCAAATTAATGTATCAGAAATAAAAAAAACAGCTCTGTTTTTTAATGGGCTATGCAAGCCTATTTTATAATAATAATATTTAATGTGGAATTTGAATTTCTCTGGAAATTACCCACCCCAAAAGGGAAAATATATCCTCTCGCTGGCATTGCTCCACTAAGATCAGGAGAGAAGTAGTAGCAGATACTGAGAGAATGAGCCTCGACATTCTCTGAATGGACATATGCCCTAAGCCCACCGACTCAAATCTAGGAACAGTTTTATGGCAATGACAAACATTCTTGAGGTACACAAGAACAAATTAAAAGTTGGAAGAAGGAGACCATTGGACAAGGAATAACATTAAAAAAGGATATAGATGAAGGATCTGACCTCCATTATATTACTTGGAGGACTCTGAATAGGTTGAGAGTTGAGTGGCTAAATGTAAAACTAATATGCTCAAGGGGAAGCTCTTAGCAGATAATATCATGTATGTGACTGTGGAGAGACACCAAGAAGGTGGCTTCAATCTGGCATCTTAAAATTTGATGTAGACATGGAAGAAGAAATTTCTCTGGAATTCAGCCACTCCTCTATGGGAAGTTCTGAATGATAGAAATGAGGAGAGACTTATAAAGAGACTTCTTCAAGCTATCTGCTGAAAGGATAAAAATGAAAATGGACAAGTAACACAAAACTATTATTCACTATTGAAGGATTGTACATGTAAAAAATATAAATCACAGGTTTTAAATCCACCAAAGTTTTTTTTACCTGTCAACAATGATCCCATGGGGTATGAGGACATAATCAAGATCTCCACAGTAATGCTGTGGATATGTAAACAGATCCAAGCTATATCCTGGCCAATCATCTGAAATCTGCAAGCAGATAAAAGTTGGTTAAAATAAACATTTCTTTACTACTTTGCAAATGTGTTACCACAGTTATCTGAGGGGTAGACTTTTAAATATGGAAAATGAAGTAAAAAGGAAAATGGGAGGTATCAAAATCTTGTTATTGCTAGCTCGTTGAATTTCACCTGCCAGTGAATTCACTGGCTATATTTTCTGGGAATTTGTGCAACCATTATAAGGCAACCAGGGAAGAAGAAATGTATCTAAATGGATTAATCAAAAAATCAAGTAACACAAAGAAAAATATGGCTTCAAATTCTTGTAAATCAAGAGATAATGATAGTTTAGCTTAGTTTTATGTTGAAATCCAGTTGCTATGGCTTATTAATAAGCTATGCTTTAAAGAAAACATGGCTGGACACAATGGGTGGCAACAATTGTTTTGGCCTCTATTAAGACCTGTTCTCTGCTCACAAAATGCCTTCTATCTACTTAAAATTTAATTCTAACTCATTTTTATAACTGTCAAATTGAACTAGACAGACAAATCTTACATAATTTTGGCATTCTTAAATTTTGATGATTCCAGAATTTCCAGGGGAAGATGATATTCAAGGTCAGAATATCTTGGCCTCATTTCAGTATAACATACTGGGATCACATTAGTCTTGATGGTTGATGATTCTTTAAATTCTTTCACAAAAATACAGAATACCATTTCTAATCTTCAAGTGTTGATATGTGCTCTGACCCAAAAGTATTGTAAACTAGTACAAGAACTTCCAAACTTGAATAAATTTCCTCTGAACAGCTTTCATTAAAGATGTTGGCAAAAAACATCTTCCAGTCCATCTGGACAAAAATTCAAGGTTAGCATGCCACTTTTTGTCTGAAATTCTGGGAATGTGGAAAACAATCCACAAAAATTTATGGCATGGTTTTTCACGATTCATGGTTTTTCAGACAGCTCCCCAAGTCAAAATCTAGGCTGACCATATCTATAAAGGATTGTAGCATTTTGGTTGTACAGCAACAAATGTACCTAAAAATCTAGTCCCCCAACACTCTGAGATCATATTATCAATATCTTGCTGGCAAAAGAGCCAACCTTTTGCAGTTTTTTTTCAAAGTAGGTTTTAATCAGAATGGAAACATTAAGGCTTACGGAGGCAAATCATTTCCTTTTCAAGTCACAAATGACTTCCCTGTCTAGCCTACAGATCTTGAATTTCCCAGTTGTCTTTAATTGAAGTATAATCTAGTCCTGGTCCAACCCTGCATAGCCCAGTGGTCAGTGAACATTGACTGAAATGTTACTGGATTAATTCCATTAGAAATCCTACAGATGGTCTGAAAATTGCATTGTGATATCTGATCACTTTGGGCCATTTTTCAAGGAAGGTTTATGGATGGAATGTAAGCAGTTTGCCTCCCCCAGCCCTCTATCCTTAAATCCCAATCCTAAAAAGGAAGAATTCTGATCCTCTTCCACTCAGAGAACTCCTGCAACGTTTTGCAAGGTCAATTGGCCTTGATCCTTCAAAACTGCTTGCCCTTCTTCTAAAGAAAGCCCGGCTGTAGTCCTAAAATAAGCATAGAGGTAGCATTCTGAGTACAAGAAATGTTGTATCTTTATTAAGACAAGCTGGCTTTTAAAATTAGCTGGTTTTTTTTAAATGTTAACATTATGTGTAACATCCTGATTTAGTCATATTTATATTCACCAATTTAATGAGTCTATTCTAAATATGATTAATTCAACCATACATCTATATCTATATTTATCTATCTATCTATCAACCATACATCTATATCTTTATCTTTCTATCTATCTATTATCTATCTATCTATCTATCTATCTATCTATCTATCTATCTATCTAT